GCTGTTTCTCTGGATAGGGTACTACATGCTTGTGCTCTTCTCCCTTGATGTTCCTAAAATGTAAGATTAACTACTTCCCCCTTTATGTTACAAAACTTTTACCTTTATAGTTGTGACAATCGCAGTTAGTCATGATAACAATTATTCACTATTGAGTCATAAGAATCTTATCCCCATCTCCTTTCACCAGACCCATCTAGACAGGATGAAAAACTATTCAGTGGCGATTCTCCCATTCCCAGTGCATTCTGAAATTAAACTCCCTCTTAAAAACTTGTAAGCCAGTCACTTTGTGCCTTTATAGCCCCCGCCATTTTAAGCAGCCAATGTCTTAAGTTGCCTGTCCCTGCATACTGAGGGGATGAAGACTCTTTCTCTTTCAGTTGGTAATGTAGTGGTTACGAATCAGGCTGCGAGCCACAAGGTCAGCAGTTTAAAACTACCAGCTGTTCTGTGGGAGAAAGATGAGGCTTTCTGCTCCTGTAAAGATTTACAGCCTCAGAAACCATGTACAGGGTCATTATGAGTCGGAACTGACTCCAACAACATCCATAAATGGAGTCCTGGTGTGGCACTGTGAGTTAATGCACCAGACTACAAAGCCAATTGAACTGCAAGGTCGGCGGTTCAAGCTCACCAGCTGCTCCTTGGAAACCCTATACAGGGTCACTATGGGTCGGAATTGACTCAACATCACTTACCAATGACAATAACACATCCATAAATATAGGTCAAGTTCATCAAATTGTAGCAATTTACACTAATTTCCTTTATCAAAATTTTTTTATCACCTTCTAGTTGTGATCATTGAGCCATTGATGCTGGGTCAAATGGGAACTATTTGCAAGTTTGGGTGTTCTTGTGCATCTCCCCCCATTTCATATCAGCTGGATGCTTCACTCTCAGCTCTAGCCCTCCATGGCTATGTCCTTGTTCATGGGCTCAGGAATCCCCAGGTCTGACCATTCTTTGCACCAACCAACCCTTCCTCTTCTCTCTCTCATCTCCCAGTCGACAGGGATTCCAAAGGGGTAATCTAGATAAATTTTTCTCGAAGGACACAGATTGATCATGAGAGCTTATTATAAATAAATTTTAAGAAAATTGAAAACTGCATTGATAAGAAAAAGATCAGGAAAGTGGCACTAAGGAATTTTCCCCATCACAACAGTGCACCTGCTCATTCCTTGAGAGTAGCAAAGGCTATGCTTTGAGAATTTCATTGGGAAATTACATCCTATCGACTCTACAGCCCTGATTGTGCTCCTTCAGACTTCTTTTTATTCCTCAAACTCAAAGAACATATAAAAGGAACATGATTTGACCCTTAAGGATGCCAAAACTGCCATTTTGATGTGGTATAAATCGAAAAGTGCAGAATTCTTTGAGAAAGGATTAGAGCGATGGAAACACTGACTTTAGAGGTGTATGGATTTAAATGGAAGAAATGTCAAGAAACAGTAGATTCACATGTTGGTATTTTTGTTTAATACAGGTTTATATAATTTTATAGCAATACTTTTTGTCTTAACTTTTGTATAAACAGTTCTTTTAATACGTGTAACTAATTTAAGTTTTTATTGTTAATTGAGTGATTGTTTACATGGGAGAACATCAGTTTTACATTTATTGTATTTCGTTTCGTTGCACTGATTACAATCCCCTCCATGTATTCAACAGTATTTGCTTCCATTCTCTCTGTTTTGTTTTGTTTTTTTGATGTACACCGAAGCACTCAGGAATATGTAACCATTTAAACAATCAAAGGCTATACCCTGTAAGCCTGCCCCTAGGCTGCCAGCTCACAGCCCCTCTCCTTCCCTGAGTCCAGAGTCCCCAGCTGCTTCATCTCTCCACATCATAGTCTCTACCTCTGTCTCTGGCGTTACTGCTTCTCTGGATAGGGTCCTGCACTCAGCTGTTCTCCCTTGATGGTCCTCCGCTCCTGGACTGCAAGATCAACCACTCCCCTTTTGTTACAACATGTCTACTTGTACATTTGCAACACTCACAGTCAGTCCTGATAGCTATTATTCACTATTGAACCACAAGAGTCTTATCCCCATCTCCTCCCACCAGCTCTGTACAGACAGGTTGGAAACCACTCTGGAGATTCTACCTGCCCCCACACCCTCTGAAACTAGGCTCCCTCTTGAAAGCTTGTAAGCCAGTCACTTCTTGCCTTTGTAGCTCCCCCATTTTGGGTAGCCAATGTCTAAGTTGCCCATCCCTGTCAACCCTGTGTAATGAGGGGGGTGGGAATGATCCTCACTGTGAAGATTCATTCCCTCTTTTGAGCTCCTGCATCCATAAGTATAGGTCAAGTTCATCAAATTGTAACATTGCTCTTTTTTTCCCCTCTTCTTTTTGCCTCTCGTTGAGTTCTGATCATCCAGCCATTGAAGCCAAGTCAAGTGTGTACTATCTGCAAGTATGGGTGTTCTTGTGCATATCTCCTTACTTCATATCAACAGGACCCTTTACTCTTTGCTCTAGTCCTCTGTGGCCATGTCCCTGTCCCTGGGCCTCAGAGTCCCTAGGCCTCGCTATACTGCTGGTCAACCAGGTTCACGATCCATGTTGACAGGAGTCTATTGAATGTGGTCAGACATAGCTCACAATTTCATTGTTGTTTTTCCCCTACATCCCTTTATCAGTAGACCAATATGGTCACCAGCAAGACCACATGCCTGCTTGTGTATTCCCCTTGAGTCTCAGTCTTGGAAGGCAGTTTGCCCTGAGGGGACCTGGCCACTTGCCTTGATGGCTCCCTTGCGAGCAACTTGGGAATTTAGTTTTAAGAGATTTCTCTGCACCCCTCAAATGGTATCTATATGTAGAGGAAGAGAAACCAATAATAGACAGGGAGAGGTAATGATGTAAAAAGGGCTCCTTGATGTGGTGGAGTGAAGTACCAGAGAAAGAAAGGGAAGGTGAGTTCCAGAGCACATGTAGATACAGGAATGAAGGGTGGGGGTGAGAAGGAGACAACAGTACAGATGTAGGTAGGTTTATAGTTGGGCTGAGCAGCCTTGGTGGTATGATGGTTAAGCTTTAGGCTGCTAATCAAAAGACTGATGCTTCAAACCTATCAGCTTCTCTGTAGAAGAAAGATATGGCAGTCTACTACCATAAAAATTACAGATTGTAGCCTTGGAAATCCTGTGGATCACTATGATTCAGAATCAACTCGATGACAATGGAGTTTTTTTGGTTTTATAGTTTCGTTATTGTTTAAAATAATAGCTGCATGGAGAACTGCTGCTCTGGCAGTGATATAAAATATTCTCCTCTTGCTGCCCTACCTACCTATACACATACAAGTGTCAATAAACTCTCAATTATTGGTGTTTTCTTTGAAGATCATGGACCAGTGCTTTATATATAATTTCTAACCTCCAAAGGAGCCAAAATCCTACACTATAATTTGAGAGTTACAGAATTTGAAACTAGATATTTACATATAGGCATTTTAGTATGTTTGTATCAAAACATGTATAATATAAACTCTACTATATGGATCTTCAGAGTCCTAGTATGGTGCTGTACTATAAGCACTGGACTGCTAACCACAAGGACCAGTGGTTCAAACCCACCAGCTGCTCCTCAGAAATCCTATACAGGGTCACGATGAGTTTGAACTGACTCGACAGCACTAAATAACGGCAACAATATAGAACTTTACAAAATACTAGCCTTTCTCATATCTTGGTAATCCCCTTATGATCGAACCTCACCATGCAATTGCTCTTCCTTAAACATCCTTAATTTTTCATGTATCCACCGTAACATGCCCTTTATGTATAATGCTGTATTCTCTACCTCTATCTAGCCTTCTCTGTAAAGCAATAGGTAACTAATTCACCCCGCTTGGTTGCCTCTACCATGGCCTGAAAGCAAACCCTATAAAAGTTTTAAACTCTAGTTAACTAGTTTAACTCAGTGTTCTGAGTTCTGAATAGCATGCCACAGGTTTCACTAATATCTTTATTCATCAGTATGATATTTCTGTATAGTAGATTCTCAATAATCATTTGTTGAAATGAATAAATGCTGGGTACTTGAGAAATTAAGGCGCTCTGGTAGCGTAATCGTTACGAATTGGGCTATGAACCACAAGGTAAGCAGTTCAAAACTACCAGCTGTCCCACGGGAGAAAGATGAGGCTTTCTGCTCCCGTAAAAATTTACAGCCTCGGAAACCCTGTACTTGGTCGCTATGAGTCGGAACTGACTCCACAGCACATAACCACCACTACCACTTGAGAAATTATCTTGTAGATAGCAAAACTCTTAAAAATTGTAAACAGGATGACAATATTTCTGTACTCTTATATGCATTTTTTGCCTTTTAAAAGTATACTGAACAAAATTTAATTTTTGAAGATTTTAGGGGAATCATAATTCAGAAGCTAAAGTGTATCGATGCTCTCAGAACACACTGAAATGTATAGGGGTGTTTACCCTAGTCTACTAGGCTTTTTCACATTATTTTGTTTGCTTTATAGAGTTTTTTTAGGCTTTTTTTTTGTCTTTTATCTACCTTTAGCAGATATTCTTCCCCTTTTCTTTTTCTGCTTCTAATTTGCCCTCAGTTGAGAAGAGAAGTTAAGAGTAGATTCTTTCCTGAGATTGAGGCTTTGCACTTTGGCATATGGACTTCTTTACTCCATTCATTCACTGCTTCAGTGCAGTTTGATTAGTCACTAGAATAATTAATAGGTGTAGAAAGAACTTGGTCATTGTCTCCAGGGTATTAAGAGCCCATCTCTTTTGGTAGTTTAGAGGCCTTTCTCTCAGCAGTATATTTCAGGCAGTGATTCTTATTATTTTTTTTAACTTTTGAATGAAGTATTTTGTTTAAAAGTAGTAAAGATGGTGACTAATAAAAAGATCTTAATTGTGTCTTACATGTGAACGTGAACCAAAATGGTAAGATTTGTTTTAAAACTAAGCTTGCAGGAAAAAAAGTGTATGTCTTTCCTTTTTTCTCTCCTATAGGAAATACAGATGAAGAGGACTGCAATTGAAGCATTTAATGAAACAATTAAAATATTTGAAGAACAGTGTCACACACAAGAACAACATAGCAAAGAATATATTGAGCGATTTCGCAGAGAGGGGAATGAAAAGGAGATTGAACGGTAAGTCTGTAATGCATTCAAGCACATTGGTGAAACAAGACTTCTTTTTAACACCAACAATTCCTGTCTTGTCTGTTTTTACCTCCTTACACTGCACAGTGCAATTGTATGAGCTGCTTGTTTTTGCTGATGGCTCCTCATCTCTCTTCTGCACTCCTCTGTTCCCCACATTTGTTAACTCCTGTTCATCATTCAGCTTGGACATGACTTTTTACAGAAAATCATCCTTGATTCTCCAAGACTGGTTTAGGAGATTTATGTCTGTGTCCCTACATTATCTGGTACTGATCCCTAGCTTGGTATTTATAGAACACCATGCCACTAAAGTGCAAGCTCATCGAGAGTCGTAATGGTACCCTAGAAATCATGTCTGGGCGAGGTTCATGATAGTGTATAAAGAAAGATTTGAAGAAAAAAGTCCCTGGAGTTCATAGTGGATGCTTATTGGATATTTGTTGAATTAAAGATCAACTTTAGCATCATACTGAGAATTAAATAAAAGTGGGAAAAGATTGTAGGTAGGAAAACAGTCTATCTGTTGCAGATTGCTGCAGTGGTTGTATCCATCAGGATAAAAGCTGTCCAAGGTCTGAACCAAAGCAATGGCAGGAATGGAAGGGAAGTGACTAGGAATGTTGAGGACTTGACGCCTGATCAGATATAGTAGGCGTGGGAGAAGTTAAAGATTACTCCTAGATTTCTGGAGTCCTTTACTGGGGTATGGTGTTATTCCCTGAAATGTTGTTGTTGTAAAGTGCCTTTGAGTTGGTTCTGACCCACAGTGACCCTATATAGGGTTTCCAAGGAGCTGCTGGTGAGCTTGAACTGCCGACTTCGCAGTTCAAATAGACTTTGCCAGTCTAGTGCATTAACCCACAGCACCACACCAGTACCATAAAGAGAGTTTAGGGTTGTATCGATGAAGTGTTTTTGTTTCCTATGAGAATCCAAATGGAGCTGCTTATGTGAATTTGCAATACAGAATAGAAAAAGGATCAGGAAGCATAAATGTATAGATGATACATGCTAGGAATTAGATTATACAGAAATAATAAACAGTATGAGAAATAATTATTGGATATGGAAATTAAAAAGATATTGGTAGTTACTATCAAAGCAATTTTAGTGAAGTATTGGAAGACTGAGATAGATAATAGTGAGTTGAGTAGTGAGAAGGAATAAATAAAAATAAATCATGTGAAATGAAAAACAAAAATATTTCTCATATCAGTGTCAAAAAGTGTTAGTAAATCTGTTTGTACATAAGTGAAGGGCCAAGTGCTATGAAGCAGTGTAGCTTAATGGATAAAAAATCATATGTTTGACTTCTGTAATGACAATTGATAGCTGTGTGATCGATCTTGGGTGAGTTACTTAACCTACCTGAGCTTCAGTTTGTTCCTCTATAAGCTATGTAAGGTACTTGATTGGAATGCTATGAGAATTGAGTGGTGTATGTTTTGATACATGGTAGGCTCTCAGTAAATGGTAATTACTAATAATGGAGACATTAAATTTTAAGAAAACTTTTTAGTTGTAGAGGAAAGTAAGGTAAATGTGATGAAGTTTTACTTGTAATATGAAGTTGCATATTATTGAGTGACAAATGAGATCTGTGGACAGTTAGTGTTACACAGAGCAGAAGAAAGATTTGTGTGCTAGAAAAGCTGATACATGTTTGCTTCAGGAAAGCATTGAATGCGTGCTAAGATGTACTAGGTACTGTTCTAGTCCCTTTACTAGTATTACCACATTTAATTCACATAACAGTCCACTTAAGTTGGGTATAATTATAAATACCCATTTTAAGCAAATGAGAAAACCAAGATTTGTTGTTGTTAAGTGCCATCGAGTCAGTTATGATTCATAGTGAGCTTGTATAGGGTTTTAAAGGAGTGGCTGGTGAGCTTGAACTGCTGTCTTGGGCTTCAAACCGACCTTGCAGTCCAGCGCATTAACCCACAGGTCTATAGAGAGCAGTTAGATAATTTGCCCAAAGTAGCAGGGTTTGAGTCTAAGCAGGGTGACTCCAGAGCCATCGTTCTTAACCTCTGTATTGTTATCACACATATATGACAGGGTTTCAGAAAGTTCCTGGAAAAATGTAACTGAAAGATACTGGAATTTTTCCATAGTCTTTTTGAAATTTCCTTATAACTTTACTTGTTAAGTCATAAGTAGGTTTAGGACATTGGAGTTGCTATCACTCTGCCATTTGTTCTGTTTTTAGCTGTGTTGGCTTTATCCTTCCCTGTGAGGTAGCAGTATGGCTGCTGAGAGTTCCAGAATCACATATTCATAACTTAATAACCTGAATGGAAAAGAAAATTTATTTTTACATTGTTGTTGTATGAAGTCCAATTGATTCTGACTTATAGTCTAGAATTGAGTCTTACTAGGCAAGCTTGGCTCTTATACCCATTCCTGTTCTGGCCTGAAGCTTGGGGTGAGAAAGAATAGAATACTCTTATTGACCAGACTGGGCTATGCTATACCCAACTCTGGATCTAAAGTAGGAGTAGAAAACCTTACCTACAAGGAACATCATCAAGATATACTAGAGAGGGCTGGTTGGTCTGAGGTTTGGTGAGACCTGGGAACTCCTGAGCCCATGAACACTGACCTAGCCACTGGGGGCTAGTGCTGAGAGTGAAATGTCCAGCTGATATGAAGTGGGGGATGGGGGGAGGCACACAAGAATGCCCAAACTTGCAGATGGTACCCATTTGACCCAGGTTGGATAGCTTGATAATCAGAACTGGACTAGAGGAAGACAAAGAAATGTGATACAGGAAGCAGGTGTAAATTGCTACAATTTGATAAAATTGACCTTTACTTATGGATGTAGTAGCTCAAAATAATCAAGAGGGAAGGAGTCTTCACATCAAGGATCAAGCCTATCCCCTCAGTACACAGGGTGGATAGGAACAGGCAATTTAGACATTTGATACCTAAAATGGTGGTGCAGGGGCAGTGTTTATAAAGGCATGAAGTGGCTGGCTTACAAGTTTTCAGGAGGGAGTTTAGTTTTAGAGCAGAAGAGGAGAGGTAGAATCCCCACTGAATAGTTTTCATCTTGTCTAGATGGGTCTGGTAGAAGGAGATGGGGATAGGATTCTTTTGATTCAATAGTGAGTGATAACTGTTATCATGAGTGATTGCGATTGTCACAATTGTAAAGGTAGAAGTTGTGTAACAAAAGAGAAGGTGTAGTTAATCTTACATTCCAGGAACAGAGGATCCTAGGACAATCAAGAGGTTAGAGTATGAGTGGAACATGGGATCCTAACCAGAGAAGCAGTGACACCAGAGACAGAGGCAGAGGTGGTGACATGGAGAGATAGAGTGGCTGATAACTCTAAACTCATGGAAAAAGAAAGGCTTTGTGCTGGTGGGCAGGAGGCTAGCTTGCAAAATGTGCCCCTTGACTGTTTAAATAATTATATATTCCTGCGTGTTTTGTGTATACCAAAAAAATCCCCAAAAAACAAAGTGGGAATAGAGTCAAATACTGTTAACTGATGGCACGTGGGGGGAGGGGGGAGGGGTAGATTGTAATCATTGCAGTAAAACAAAATATAGTTGGTTGAGTGCAAACCCAATGTTCTGCCATGTAAACTATCACTCAATTCACAATAAAAGCTTTACCTAAAAAAAAAAAAAAAAAAAAAAAGATGTAACAGAGAGTGTGGATGAATACTGGGCAGGGATATCTATTACACTTCAGATATTAGGATCATGCTCAAATTCTTATTATGCTTGCTTATTGTTTTAGCCTTAATGTCAACTATTTTCACAGAATTATGATGAACTATGACAAATTGAAATCACGTCTGGGTGAGATTCATGATAGCAAAATGCGTCTAGAGCAGGATTTGAAGAAACAAGCTTTGGACAACCGGGAGATAGATAAAAAAATGAATAGTATCAAACCTGACCTGATCCAGTTGCGCAAGATCCGAGATCAGCACCTTGTGTAAGTAGTCTGGGCCTATGTGGGGAGGGAACCCCTAGAAATAACATATTACTACTGGCACTAGAGAAATCAGAGTTGGAAGAAGATATTTTTAACTAAGAACTGGACGATGAGATTGTAATAATTCAGGAAAGCAGCTCTGTTAGTAGTAAGGGGTACCAGAATTTACCAGAAGTCAATGTGTAGGGATGTCAGGATGACTACACTAATCCATATATATGCCTTGGAAATCTGAGAGAGCAGCTGCAGTATGAGCAAAGTGATACAGCTTAAGAAGGGTAGATTTGTGTTTGAGTAACACTAGAATCTTTGGTTACTGGGGAGAACTTTAGAAATAGAAATTACCCCTCAGAGATAACAAGAAGAACAATATCAACAGAGGACTTACAAATAAGTATACAGAACAGTTTCTTAAAGGATATTCTATATTTAAGAAATAAAATTCTAAATTTAAATAATAGAAACGTGGCACCAAAGAGAATTTGACCTGAGTAGTGAAACCCAACTTTTTAATATTAAGGAGATTTGATGGCAACAGGTTTTAATAGTTTAACCAAGTATAGGCATGATAGGGATATTATCCAAATATAGATTAAAATATATATTAGCAGAACAAGATGTGTAGATTTGATTTTTAGAAGTGCAAATGACTGATTTGTAGAAGGAGAGAATCCATGAGAAAGGAAAATTTATTGAGCTACATTCTAGATAATGAACAGATTGTCATGGAATGTTTTAATGGGTGACATTCATGCATATAAACAATTCAAATTCCTGACACTAGAACATATAGCAAAAATGTCTTACTCTGGGTTTTCCATCGACTTCAGGATTTCCCTGTGGGAATAAAATACAGGTCTAGAGTTTAGAGTGGCGGCAGATAAATTTCAGTAGAGGAAATGTAAGGTAATTTGGTGGTGGTGGTGGGGCAAACAATCACAACTATACTATGCTAAGCAGATTTAGTAACATCCATCTGAAATTATTTCTGTTTGTGATTATGGCCCACGAAAAAGTCAACCAAGTGACCTACAGAGGAGCTTTGGGAATAAGGCAAGGAGATACCATCCTTGTCTAAAATACGCCCTTGGATTGATCATGAGGTTATGGCCACATTATGAAGTTGCAGGAAAACCCAGGAAGGCCATGCTATGGACCAAATGAATGAATGGAAGCATTTGTTCACCCTGAAAAGATAAGATTTTAGGAAACATACCATCAAAAGGCATAAATATATGTGTCAAACCAGACCTTAGAAGTTCCTTTAACAGATTCTGTAAACTAAGTATAAAAGAGAGTTTAGTTAACATTGTAGATGACAAAGCCATTGTTGTTGTTAAGTGCTGTTGAGTAAGTTCCGACCCACAGCAACCCTGTATAGGGTTTTTGAGGAGCAGCTGAACTGTTGACCTTGTGGTTCAAACTGACTTGCAGTTAACACATTAACCCAGGCCACCAGGGCTCTGACAAAGCCATTGCCTGCTACTAAATTACTCCTCAGTTTATTTATTATAACTCTGAATTTTAATTTTTATAACTCTAAATTTTTCTGTTAGCGTAGTGGTTATGAATCGGACTGCGAACCTCAAGGTTACGAACCAGCTGCTCTATGGGAGAAAGATGAGGCTTTCTGCTCCTGTAAAGATTTACAGCCTCGGAAACCCTGTACAGGGTCAGTATGGGTCAGAACCGACTCTACGGCACTTAACAACAACAACAAATTTTTATAAGTGGTTTTTCTCTTTAAAGAGTGTATATATATATTACCTAATTTTACCCTCATATAGGAATCACGAAGTTTTGCCCACAAAACTTGGTACAAGACAAGTTGCATTCCTGATTTTCTTTAAATTAGAATTAATTTATTTAAAGATCTTGTTGTTGTTGTTGTTGTCAGGTAACATCGAGTCGGAACCGACTCATAGCGACCCCATGCACAGCAGAACAAAACAATGTCTGATCCTGGGCCAACCTCACTACCGCTGCCACACTTGACGCCA